GCTTCCGACGGGGCCTACGGCAGGGGTCCCCCAGGCCCCCCTCACCAGGTTGCGGATCTTGAACGCGAAGTCGGAGGAGATGGGGCTGTACTGGAAGGTGCAGTGCGGGCTCCCGCGCAGACCCGGGCTCAGCTGCAGCAGCAGCAGCACCAGCAGCGGCAGCGGCAGCGGCGAGGGGATCAGCAGTCGGGATTACTGCCGACGCTTCTGTCAGGTGAGGCTCCCTCTCGTCACCCCGGCCCAGGGCCTCCAGGCGCCTCCTGGTTACCTCGCCTTCTGGTCTGGGCTGTGTCGGTTGCTCGCTCTTTTAGTCTAACGAGGAGGGTGAGGTGACGCTCCCCTCCACCTATCCGGCATGGGGTGGGGGGTGGGGATCGGGGCCTGGGTGACCAGGCGGAGGGTTGTCGAGACCTGGGGGTTTGTCAGAGGTGCTGGAGGGAGCAGGGCAGGGTCACCTGGCCGGAAAGCTACGCACTGACATGCCTCCCGTGCCCCAAACCGAGCCCTTCCTACCCGAGGGTCCCGCCTTTCTTAAGCTTCCTACCCAGTTCCTCCTCACCTTCTTAGGACCCTCAAACATTTCCCACCTTCTTTTCTCCCTTTGCCCGCTACCCCACCCCCTCCCCTTTCTGGGATGGAAGACCTGCCATCTCTCTACTGCCCCCTCTCCTGTCACTCCCCCCCTTGCGGGTCTCCTGTCATCCCAAACTCTGGATCCCCTTGGGCCACTTCACCAGTTAGCTTTGGGGGCGTTGACCCGTAGTGGCTGAGTGACTTTGGGGCGTGGAGGGGTGTGGGGTGGTGTCTGGGAAGTTAAGGCAATGAGGTTTGCCATCCTTTCCTCTTGCTCCCTCATCCTACTCCCCCTAACACCCGCTTTCTCCTAATTCACTGTACTGTGAGAAAGTCGTTTTCCTTAAACGGTTGCTTTCGTTGCACACTATATTTTGTACTACAGTGTATGAAATAAAAATAAAGTATCCGAACAGTGACAGTACATACTTTTTTCCCTTTTAACTTTGTCGACTGGCACGAGAATTATAGTGTATATGGTATTTGAACGTAATAAGATATTACAGCACCAGTACTTGTCTAGGGTTAAAATTGTGTAATCTGTATTCAGATCTATATGTAATTTAATCGTTTTATTCTCACACACAACATACTTGCTAGTAAACTATTTTAGATTTTTATTTTTTACCTACTCCTTTTCCACCGGCTCTCCCCTTCACCCCCCTACCCCCCTTTTGGGCTAATTACTCTACGTAAATAGGGTTTAGATCAGCTCCACTTCCTAGCTTTGTGACCTTGGACAAGTTACTTGATCTCTAGTTTCCTCTTTTCCTAATAGGGGTGGTAGATAATGAATGAATATGAAGTTGATGGATGTTACCTATGAATTTCATTTCTGGTAACATATTTGAATTAAAGTGGGCATCGTGTTTGGTGACATTTGATTCCCTTCCCCCTCTTTCCAAGCATTTTCAAAGTAATTAAATTTATTTATTCTTAAACTTTATTTCAAGAAACAGAATAAGAATAATTAAAATGGATGAAGTTGACTTTTTCAGTTCAGTTTTTAATTCTTTAGTTTAAATTGTCTCTTGATTTTATTTTTCTATTTGACCACTACCATACATAAGTACATTGAAGTTACCTTTCTCTGGAGAGTCAGTTTTCATTGGCATTGCTGTGTATTTAGTGCCTCTTGAAAATGCATTTTGTTTTTGGTTTTGATATTCACTGAATTAAAAAGCCCAGTATCTTTTAGAACACTTGCTTTCTAGTTTGTATCTCTCTTATCTACTAGTATGAATTGTCTTCGAATTAATTCTGACCTCCAAACCAAGTTGTCAGTAGATTCTATAGGCAATTTAAACTTCTGAGAATTAGGTTGCATCTATTTTTTATTTTTAACATATTGACTGGCTTTTTTTTCCTTCCTTATGCCTTTGCTTTTTTTTTTATCAATAATGAGCAACTTGATTTTTTGATTATTTTTAGCTTGTAATTTACTTTGTCAACTGCCACCTTAAATGCATACTCTCCATCTTATCTTATTCACAATTATGTATGTATGTTTAATTATTAGAGACTTTGAGGACCAAGTTTATATGGAGAATTTTTAATTATACTTTTTCTGTTTCTTGAAGCAAAGATTAAGAACAAATAAAATTGACTATTTCTAAATAATTGACATTTTCCAAAGGAAATAAACGTAAATAGGAAGAATTTAGTGAATTTTTATTCTATATTGTTAAAGTTATTTGTGTTAGACTTTCTTTCATGTTAGCGATTTTACCTGAAACCGTGTCTGTTCTCTATGTAGGTGAGTTTTGGGAGGTCCTTTGTTGTATTAAAACCTTAAAATGGAATAAAAGATTCAGTTGAATTTTTCCACTCTTTGATAAAATGTTAGTATAGTTAATATTAAGAGCCCTGGTAGCATAGTGGTTAAGTGCTAAACTGCTAACAGAAAAGTCTGTATTTCAAACCCTCCAGCTGTTGTGTGGGAGAAAGATGTGGCAGTTTACTTTCCTAAGATTTTCAACCATCCAAACCCTATGTGGCAGTTCTACTCATTCCTTTAGGGATGCTATGGGTTGGAATCAATTTAATGGTAATGAGTTATAGTAAATCCCAGTTTTATTTCCCAATAAAGGGAGAAGTGTATTACATAATCTAATTTCAAAAAATCCTTCCCCCCCAGAAAAGATCTGATTTCTTAGTATTTACTGAGGGTAATATTAAGTAACTTGCACTCTTTATTAAAATGACTTAATTGTGAATAATCATACTTAGGTAAGTGACAGTTAACTAAATATATAGAGTATACACACAATCTTGAGAAGAAAGGTTCCAATATATCTTCTTTAGTAAGAGGAAATAATATGACTCAAAGTTTCATGGCACTTTGTTGTGTAGTTAAAAGGAGAGAGGAAGGAACACTACTTTTTGAGAGTTTCTTGTGTCTTCTATAGCGTGGAAAAGTAGAACAAGACTGGTAATGTAAGTGATAGATTATGCATGCGTTTGAGGATATACTTTTCTATTTGAGAAGCAATGCTGGTAATTGTAAAAATCACAAAAGATTACTTCCCTAGGCTTAAACCGATTTTTGAGATGATATACAGTATTTAGAAGATTGAAAGTTGTGAACTCTAGTTACATAATGCTAGTAGGATTGAATTAACTGCCCCTTCCTTGATTCAACAAGTATGTAAATAGAATTGTCCTTTGATTTTTCATTATGCTTTAAGGTGGAAAGGAGGGAAAAGTGACTTTTATTGAGTATCTGCTAACTCTTCAGGTTTGAATGAAGTTAACTTGTCTGCATTTTGATAGATGGACAAGCTGGAATTTGAACTTTTAATTTTTGTTGAAAGTCAGAATGGCAGATTGAATTGACAAATCCTCAAGTAATTTTGAAATGAATGAATTAATTATTTGGCAGTGGTGGTACAAAGGGAATAAAAAAGTTATTGGGAGTACTTGGAACCATAGATGAAGGAGTTTAAAAAATACATTCATGGTGCTACAGTTGTAAAAGATGTTTCAAGAAACAGATCATTATTGTCTCTGTGACTTGTGATTTGTTGTGAAGATTTTCCTGATTCCTGAAGGTTGTATATGGGGAGCCCTGGTGGGTTTGCATTGGGCTGCATACCACAAGGTCAGTAGTTCGAAACCACCAGTTGCTTCAAGGGAGAAAGGACTTTCTACTTCTGTAAAGAGGTAAAGGTTTGGGAATGCACAGAGGCAGTTCTACCTGTGTCCTGTCGGATCACTATGAGTCAGCATTGACTAGATGGCAGTGAGTTTTTTTGTTTTGTTTTAGTAGAAACATTTGATATGTTAATTAAAGTAGACTTTCAAATTATCCCCCCCCCCCAGGGTGGTTAATAGCCATCATACAAGGCTACCATGAGAATAAATAAAATGAGAGAACAAAGCCGAAGTGTTTAGTAATAGACCTAGCATAAGTTATTATTAAACTGATTTTTGAGATTTGACAGATTTAGAAGATTGAAAGTTTTGAATTGTACCACTTGGTGCCACCAAGTTGATTTTAACTCATAGTGACCCCACGCGACAGAGTAGAACAGCCCTGTAGGGTTTTCTAGACTAATCTTTATGGAACAGGATGACCAGGTCTTTCTTATGAGGAGTAGTTGAGTAGGTACAAACCAAGAACCTTTCCGTTAGCAGCTGAGCGCTTAACCAATTTTGCCACCAAGGCCCCTTACGAACCCCATGTGTTGCCATCCAGTTGATTCCAGTTCATATTGACCCTATAGGACAGAATAGAAGTGCTATGTAGGGTTTCTGAATAACACTGACTTTTCTGTTAGTACTCAAGTACTTAACTATTGTGGTCATAAACCACCAAGGTTCCTGCATAGCACATAGACAAGTTTAAGTGTAGAGTGACTATTACTTTTTCTTCTATGTGAAATCATCTGAAGGTTTAAGGTTGACAATATAGATAATCTAGTTATATTTGATTTAGTTATCATGCAAAAACTTTAGAGAAAATTAAACAATGTTGGGATTCTAAAATTCTATTTAACTAGAGAAGCCACAAGCTTTTGGTGCAGGACTAAATTATAGTATACATAGACAGTTACCTTTTTTTCTGTCAGTGGTTCTCAGCTTGAGGATACTTTTTTCCTAAAGAGAATATTTGGCTATATGTGGAGACATTTTTGATTGCCTGGTTATTAGAATTTGCTACTGGCATACACTGTGTAGTGAGGAACCAAAGATACTGTTGAAAATCCTATATAGTACACAAGATAGTCCTCACACACAAAGAATTATCCAGCCCAAAATATCCATAGTACTGAGCTTGAGAAATTGTATTATCCCCTCACTGTTGAACTTAATGGGATGCTGATATCAATTGCCTGATATACATGACAAAAATTATTTACTTGAATAATTTTAAACAATCATGTGATAGGTGTGTAAAGGACAGTGTAATTGAAAAAGATTGGTCTCATTATATATAACACTTGATTATCTCTTATTTTAGAGAAATTACATAGTTTTAAGGAAAAAATAATCCTACTTTCTAGTTTTGGTACAGAATTGATAAAATACTTAAATACCTGTAAATTGATTTTTAACTCACCCTTGACTCAGTTCGGATTCATAACAACCTTGTAAGACTGGGTAAAGAACTGCTCCTTAGAGTTTCTGAGACTAAATTTT